AACGTAAATCTGCATTGATGACTGCATTGTTGTGCAAACTTTTACAATGGACAGAAGTAAAATTTCTTTTTCCTTATATTAACAGACTTATAAACTGCATTACTCATCTAAGTTGTGCTTTACTCTTGAAGAGGCTTTATGGAAAATGAACTTTGTAAATTATCATACAGCAATAAGGTGTTCCAGTCCTGTTTTTCAAGAAAGAAATACAACTTAGCAGATATGACATTGTAAAATAAAGATTGTGAATAGAATCTTTTCTAAAAACCTCATGATTAATTTCAACAATCACTTACCTTAACAGATAATTTAGCTAACTTTGATAATCACTGTACTCTACAAGTTAAAAATATTCCCTATGAAGATCAGTATTTGAAAAGATGCAAATCCACCAAACAATACAAATACAACAGAAGCCTAAAGACACTAAATTTTGTATAGTCAAGTTTAGCACAATCTTTCAGACTAACAAGAATAAAACCCTAACAAATTTCAATAACTCAATTTTGCAAAAATATTTTAAACTAAATTATTGTCCTTAATTTTCCTTGGAGAAATGACTTCATTATTAATCCTTATCAGATAAAAATATTTCAATCACTACTTTCATAAAGAAATTTAACTTTTAACAGGTTAGCTGCTACAACAGATACAACCTGCCAGAAACAGTCCTCAATGACCATTTTAATTCCCCTTCTAATAAACAGAAGACACTAAAGTGAAACTGAGCAAACTAAAGTACTTTGGTATTTCAAAATTATTGGGAGTACAATTATCAAAAAACCAAGCACTTCACTAACTTTCCTGACTTTTTTTTTCATATCAATGTTTGGCTCAATAAAACCACAACTCCAGAAATTAAGTGTTATTAGTCATTTGATGCAATATTTGATACTGCTTTCTATGTATATCGTAACTAAAAGTACAGTTTTAGAGAAAGTTTTAAGTCACATAAATTTCATGTGCAGTCAAAGAAGAAATTTTCAGTCACCTCACTGCTCACATATAAGAACCTGGTAAAATAATTTTAAGGTTTTATAACCCTGATAATCTTAAATCAAGCAAGGGAAGTAAAAATGACGTAAAGTACTTTAAATGCTGAAAGAAATGTGCCTCCCAGACAGCACTGTAGTATTAACTTTGAATAGGGGCTTCTAAAAAAAAATTACATAAACATTTAATTTTGTGTTCCTGTATATTTAGATAACTGTCACTAATTCACACCAATATTAGAATGCTTCTGGAGTAAGTCCTAAATCAGAAGAATTTTTCCACAATTATCTTCTGGGCAAGCAAGTGAAGTTCAGCCTTAGTAACGTTTTTCAATTAATGCAGACTCCAAAATTTCCAAATACTCTTTTAAAGTATTGTTTTAAACATAAGAGAAAATTAAGTTTCATGAAACTACTTCTTCAGTAAATTTTATATTCATTTCAGAACAAAAATTTGGGCAAAATTAACTATGCACATTTATATGAAGCTAACATAATCCAAAGGAATAAAATTTATTCCAATATAAAACATTTTCTAAAAAATCTTCCCCACAATTTTCAGCAGGACATAGAGACACTTCAGTGTCACTCTACCTTTACACAAAATATTTACTGACATAAGAGGTGGGGAACCTGCTGCCACATGTGGCCCTCCAGGTCCCCAAGCGCAGCCCTGCTACCAAATCCAAACTTCATAGAACAAATCCCTTCATTAAGAGGATTTGTTCTGTAAAATTTGGATTCAGTCAAAAGGTCACAATCAAGGATCCAAAAGGCCACAGGTTCCCCACCCAAATCAGAGCCCAATAACTTAATTCTGATATAGCTCTCAATTCCTGTCAATACTTTCCATTCTGCAAAAAAGGAGGGCTCTATCCTCATCCTTGATCAAAACCAGTTTGTTGTACCCGAAACTGCAAAGACTAATGCTTTTCGATAACCACTAACTTTTGAAATACAAAGGCCTAACTTTTAGACAACCAAAACTATACACTGTTAAAATTCTTGGGTTTCTGTCTTATTCGACAAGCTGACTCAGTAAATTTAATACATGTATGAGAAAAGCTAACAAACATACCTACAATCTGAAGCTGGAGTAAACCGCTCTTGCCAAACATTTCTGGGTATGATACACTTGACAGTCTACACTAGTCAGAGTAAAATTAACGGACACCAAAAGGTGTCAGAAGACCTGAAACCTAAAAAAGGTGAACAGCAATTCTGGCATCATAGTAATACTTACATTTCAAGTCAGAACTGAAGTTTAATCTCTGCAATCATCTGCTACACACAATACCCTTGAACCTACACAATACTATAATCTTGGATCAAAAACTACTCAATCACCATTCTATTATGCATGATAAGAGCACTGAAAATAAAATGCAACTGAACTGCAAATTTTATGCCCTATTCTACATCCCCCATTGGGAGAGAAAAAGGCAAATATAACAAAGATCTAGTAACAGCGCCTTATAAGGTATATCATGGCACTATTGATTTCACACTACAAAACTTCTAAATGCAGTTCAAAGTTGCAATTAACTTTGTTTAGAAATAAAAAACCTATTTGTTGCCTTCAAATACGCACCGTATATGCTGAAAATGATTCTGCTTCTATAAAGTTATGCAAATCAGCCCAAAACTCACATTTATAAAAGAATCTATCAATGCAACCCAGGAAACTAAAAAGAATCACTGCAAGATTCTGATGCAATATGCGTACGTGCTACACTAATTTTCATTTTAATCTGATCTATACCCTTGATCTAGGGCCTAAGCCAAGATTTAATCGAAATATGCTCAACCTCAAAGCGTCTACTTTTTTGTTCATTTGGTAGACCGGATTATCGAGCTCACTAATCCACTAACAGTGTACTGTATTGTCTATTAACGGACAATAGCCCTCAGGAAGAGACCATATAGATAGATTAAGAAACCAATCGGTGCCGTGACACTTGCAACCAGGCAAGAGTTCCATCTAGCCGCACACACCCTAGATTAACTACATTGAAAAGAAACACAAAAATATATGATCTATAAATCTGACCACGGTTAAATGTTATAGTCACCCAAACTACGGGATTTTTCGCATCCATCTACTCCCACGTTATGAGAGAGAGTGACAGAAAGGCAAAGAGGAGCAGCCGCAGAAATGGATACAGGTCAAGTCTAAGTCGAATCCATCCTCTTGATATCTCCTTTTGTTTCTGCTAACGATCTCTTTGATGATGGCTGTCATGTCTGGGAGCCTGTGGCTGAAGAAAAAGGAGGAGAGAGATGGCAGAAGCTGCTGGTGGCGGGGCTTCTTCTGCAGGATGGAAATGGCTCTGGACTTGGCGGTAGCTGATGCCCCTCGCTCTGCTGCCGCTTGGCTCTGGACCGCAGCCGGGTAATGGCTGCTGCGGCGGCTGCTGGATGGTTGCAGCGACTGGGCCTGCTTCTCCTCAGCAGCCAGAGGCCTGGCAGCGGCGGCAGCGGAATGGGCAGAAGACGAATAATCCTCGGAACGGCTGCCTCCTCCGGCGGCCTCCGGAGCCCGGGCCAGGGGGGGTGCGGCGGCGGCGGAGGGGTTTAAAACCTGCCCGGGTCCCTGGATGTGCCGCCGCCGCCGCCGCCGTGTTGGAGGCAGGAGAAGGGGAGAGACCAACTCTCCGGCGTTCCCAGCCCTGGAAATGGTGACAGGCGACTCCGACCCCCTCCCTGGAGCTGTAGCCGCCGCGGCCGCGGCCGCCGCCGCCGCTTCTCCCCCCCGCTCCAGGAGCGGGAGGTGCCGCCGCCGCCGCGCCTCAGCCGGCTCCCGCCCGAGCCCACGGCTTCCACCTTCCCTTTCAGGAGAAGCCGAGGAAGAGGCTGCACGGTTAGAAAAGAAGGCGAAGAGGAGGCGAGAAACGCCGCCGCTGCGGCCGCCGCAGGCCGGCCGGCTCCCCGAGGGCGCTGCCCCCGCGGCTGCTCACAGGCGCAGAGAGGGGCTCGGGGCCGCGGCCGCCGCCGTCTCTCATCTCCCTCGCCTGAGCCCGGCCTCGCCTCACAGCGGCTCAACTCTCAAACTTCCATCATGGCTGCAGCTTCCGAGAGGAGAGAACTGAGCGCAGCCGCGTCTCCGCACCCCAACGCGTATCCTGCCGCAGTGCACAAAGAGTCCCGCCACATCACCGTCCGCCGGCCTGCCCGCCCCCTCCGCCGCCGCGCGGGGAGTCCGGTGGCCTCGGGAGCCTGAGGGGAGGCGGGAGGCGAGCGAGAGGCAGACGCAAGCGCGCCGGGGGAGGGGAGGGCGGGGGCGGTAGGAGGTGGGGGGCAGGAACGGCAGGTCCCTGTGCGAGCGCAGAGCCCCAACCTGCAGGCGCTACTGAGCATGCCCAGTGACAGCCAGGGGCTCGCTCCGGCTTGTACCGAGGCGCCCGCTGCAGCCGCACTGGCCGCGGCTGCTTCTGCAGCAACGCGGGGCGAGGGTAAGGAGCTAAGCCTCGGCCTGTGCCCAGAAACCCAGCCCGAGGCAGGGTAGGCGTTGGGGGCTGGGAGTGGAGATGGAGGGCTGATGACGAAAGCTGAGACGGGTGCGTTGAGCAGTGTCGCTGACTCGAGCCTGAGGTTACCTTTGCACAGGTGGAAAAGACCAGGTGACCGTGCTAGTCAGTGCATAGGGAAATGCAGTGACAGTTCCTGCAGTGAGGACATCCTCCCCTGCCTCTGCCCCTAGATTTCCCGGTATGGCCTGCACTCACGGTTTAGTTTTGCACCAATGTGGGATGACAATCGCTCGCAGCCTTTGCCTAGACACTACCCCTCCCCCCTTGTCCTCAAGGTGTCAGTCTCAGCACAAAGAACAGCCTCCTATTGTGTCTCCTGCATGGATCACCTCCTCCAGCTCGCTTTCACCGCCCCACCTTCTCGCTTCCCCAACTCCGCTCATTTGCCCTAAAATCAAAAGCTTCCAGCCGAGCGCAGAGTGTGAACATATCGCCCCTGAATCTCCAAGGCCCGAAGACACCTAGCTGGGTGCGCTGACAGTGGATCCCCGGGAGTGGGACGCACCCCTCAGCCTCCTCCAGTGGCCCTGGAGAGCCGAGCATCTCTCCCCCTCGGGCTCCAGGTCGCTTCGCCGCGTCCAACTCAGGCTGCGTCCTAGGAAGCTACCTCGCCCCGCCCCCTCTGGGCCGCCGTGAAAACGTGGCAGAGTGGATCGCCCGGGGCAACCCACTGGCGCTGCCCGGGCCGGGCCGTGCACGCTCGGGCCGGGGTTGCGGGCCCGGGAGCGAAGTACAGGACGGTAGGAAGCTGCAGCCCTGCGAGTGGGCGGGGCGAGGAGGCTCGGGAGGGCTCAAAAGGAGGTGGAGGGATACGCGGGCCGCAGTCGGAACTACTTTCCGAAGGAGGTCACGTGTGTTCCTAGTTGGGGAACTTTCCAAATTCCCACTCCCCTCCGATAGCTCCAGAGGCAAGTGCCTTGCTGCCTTTGCCCTGGGGGCTCCCGCCGGGTGCGGACAGCGGGACCCCAGCCCGGTCCGGGTCGCGGCGGGAAAAGCAGCTCAGACGAGCCTCCCGAAGGAGCGCAGTCGGGGCCGGCGCTTGGGGAGCTGGTTACACAAGCACTCACATCCAAGCACGTGCCCCCGCCTCCCCGCTCCGCTGGCCGCAGCCTATTCTCACAGACCGCGGGGAGAGTCCCCGGGCTGGTCCCGCTCCTCGCATGCTACCCACAGAGCAAGCCAAAGGCCGAGCCCCGAGACTCCCTGCTCTGGATCGACCTTCGGGGCGCGTTCCCAAACGTGGGAAAAGGAGCTGGGCGCCAGGGGTCTGGGGCATCTCCCTCGCTGGTGCCTGCCACTGCGGGTGAACCCTTCCAGTTCTGTGCTCGCGGGACAAAAGGGTATCTCCTGCTGCAGTCCGCTGCTTGGATGGGCCGATGTTGCAATAAACTTCCAGTCACTGCCCTGAGCTGGTGAGCGCGCCCCACCTACTGTAGACTCAGCCAAGTGACTTATCTGGTCTGAGAACCTAGTCAGAGGCCGTCAGCGCCAAACAAACCTGTCAAGTCTGCCTACAGTCCCGATTGGTTGACCTAGCCCCCGTGGGAAAGCTGGTTCGGAAATGCTGAGAGCCGCAGTGCATTTTCCGCGACTTCAGAAAGCGGTAAAGCAAATAGTCCACTGTATGCTTGAAGAGAATGGGCATCAATCAACACCAATCTAAGAACTTCTTTTTCTTTCCTTGGGGAGGTAGAACTCAAGGTGACAATTTGAGTCCAGAAATATCTTTCTTGAAACCTAGGCTGAGGCACTGGGTCATTTTTCAAAATTTGGGATAATGAGAATCAATGTGTGTTGCCATACTTGTGAGTAGTGCCAAGTAAGGTCTAAAGAGGATATATGCAGTGCATGAGAAAGAAGATTGTATGTGTGCACTTCATAGTTGCAGGCAGCCCCTGAAGACTAGAAACCCCAAGAGGCCTAGCTCAGAAAGCCACAGGCCATTACCTAACTCCAAGACTACTAATTAAACCTGGGATATTTACAGTATTCTTAGAGATCTCTGAGGCTCCATAAAACTTTGCACTTATATACAATTTCTTTTTAAGATAGCTCTCCAGGAGTTAACCTGCTGAAAGTTCAATATTGATATTTATTGAAGGATGGTTTTGTGCATGGTTCTGGTTAGCTTGGGAGAGGCAGGGACCCCAAGTGGAAAAGGAAATGGAAAGAAAACTGAAAAGAGTAGGAGAAAGGTCTCCATTTGATTTCCAAAGGTGCAAATCTTGTCCACACAATCTAATGTGAGCTAGAGATTTCTTCATTTTACAAATAATCAAGGATAAGGAGTCCCTGATGTCTAGGTGTTCTACTAGATTGCATGGTAAAAACCTGAGCTAAGCTCAACTGAGTATCAACTACTGTTTGGTAGAAAAAGGGGAAATAAAGATGAACTTAAATAAAGGAGAGTAAATGGGGGGTGGGGGTAAATACCCCACACTTGTTTCTCAAGTTGCTGATTTTGTCCCCTTAGTCCCTGTTATTAGCACTGCCCTACTCTGCCTTTCCCCTGGAGCCTACCCCTATGTGACCATTAGTCTCTTGGCATCTGAGAAGCTCTGAAATCTGCTTCTTTGGAAGAAAATGAAACAGGGTTCATTCCTGTCCCTGTTAGTATTATATTAGGCATGAAGAAAGAGGATCCTTTTCAATTCCATGACACAGAGTTACTTTCAAACGGAGAAGATTTGCATCGAGAGCACCAAGTGCTGGAATATGACACCAGCCCACAAGCACTTCCATCTGGATGAAGGAAGGAAACGGGAAATGGGTTTTGGGAAAGGAAGAAAGCGGGAAAAAGGGAATGATTCTCTAAACATCAGGTCTCTCTACTTCTCTCTAGTGGTGAAGGAAAGGATCACCAATGGCGGCAGATACTTGGCCAGCTTGACAGCAACATCAAATGGTAATCAGGAGTTGCTGAATAAAAACCCCCTCCCAGTGTTAAGTTGTTTCTGAAAGAAATACAGATGTATCCTTTTTCAATTTTTGTTTTTCTTCACTATTTCCTTCTACCCAAGTGGATCCCTTCTATTTAAGGGATGCACTTGCCCAAGTGATAGAGCTGAAACCTCTAAATAGCTAGCCCTATCTAATGTACAGAAAATGAAAAATAATAATTTTTTAAAGTTCAATTGAAATTATTTGCTTAGCTGTACATATATTACACTACACTGGTTTCCAGGCACTTCAGTTCTTTACCTTTCTGGATTCAGAACACCCTAGGGAAAAACAGAAGCTTGTAAAAAAGGGAGAATTATATAAAGCTTCAGGGAGACTAACTATATAGAATAACTAGTGAACATGATAAACCAGCTTTAATTATAGTTTCTAACAGCTGATTCCAAAACTGTATTGTTACTACACCCAAAGAAAATTCCTTTCTTATTTTCTTTGATAAGTGAAATGATCAAGCAACTTGATGTGATATTAATATAAATAGTTGATATGTTCTTTGTAGGTCCTGCTGCTAAAATGTCTTTAGTCTAAACACTCTGTTCACTATGGTGCCTTTCTCATCTCCCACACACTGACCTTTCAAAAAGAGATCTAAATCAATGGTTTTAATTTTTTTTTTTTTTTGACTCAAGAGTCTCACTCTGTTGCCCAGTGAGTGCCGTGGCATCAGCCTAGCTCACAGCAACCTCGAACTCCTGGGCTCAAGCAATCCTCCTGCCTCAGCCTCTCAAGTAGCTGGGATTATAGGCATACACCACCACGTCCTGCTAATTTTTTCTGTTTTTAGTAGAGATGGGGTCTTGCTCTTGCTCAGGCTGATCTCAAACTCCTGACCTCAAATTACCTCCTGTCTTGGCCTCCCAGTGCTAGGATTACAGGTATGAGCCACTGCGCCTGGCCATCAGTGGTTTTAATTTTTAAGCGATCTTCTCTACCTATTTAACTATTGTTTTCTAAATAATACATAATTTAAAAATATAATAATTATTGGTTTGAATTTAAACTGTCCTATTCTTCCAATGGTCTGAAGATTTTCTCTTATCTCATTTATCCTAATAACAAATATTGTCCTTTATAAGATAGCTTTCCCAAGGCATTCTCCTAAAGGTGCTGCTATGGGCCATCTAAATAACTATAATATATCCTAAGAGAATTTTCCATTACTGTCTATAAGCTTTCCATGTCCTAAATCTCTCCTGAAGCTGTTTCAGATGGCATGGTGTCACTTTTCATATCTCAGTAGAGAGGTGTGCTGTATGAAATCATCACTCTCAGAGAAGTAAGCGTTGAGTTAGGTGCTCCTGGGAATCCCTGAAGAGACCAGGTACTCACTATGTCCAAGTGGCATTCAGAAATTGTGACTTGAACCAGGGAATGATTAAAAAAAAAAAAAAGATGACAACCTAACATGACAAGACAGCTTTGACTATGTTAGTCTCTAGGTTAACATTGGCAGTTGGGTAGTCTACTTTGATCCCCTTAAGGCTAACTCTAATCTAGTTCTATGGAATACATATTTTGCTTTTTAGCCTTTACAATAGTAGAAAAAAATTAATTCTGATACACCCGTAGGTATTGGGGCATCTACCATGTGCATCACAGAGTAGCCCAAATTTGTCTAGGTATAGGAAGGACATTGAGAAGGCTAACCACTATCTCACTCCTACAATCTTTTCCTTCAAAACATCCTCATCTCTGGGGCATCACTTTTTCTGACAACAAAGAGCACCTTTTTTTTTTTTTTGAAACAGAGTCTGGCTCTGTTGCTCGGGCTAGAGTGCTGTGGCATCAGCCTAGCTCACAGCAACCTCCAACTCATGGGCTCAAGTGATTCTCCTGCCTCAGCCTCCTGAGTAGCTGGGACCACAGGCATGCCTAATTTTTTCTATATATTTTTTTGGTTGTCTAGATAATTTCTTTCTATTTTTAGTAGAGATGGGGTCTCGCTCTTGCTCATGCTGGTCTTGAACTCCTGAGCTCAAGCAATCCTCCCACCTCAGCCTCCCAGAGTGCTAGGATTACAGGCGTGAGCCTACCATGCCTGGCCAAGAGCACCTTTTTGAAAGAGAAAATACATGGAACAAACTCTGTTTAAAGAACCTTTTTTGTCCATCCTCTTGATGGTAAGGGTCTTATCTCCACTCATTCACTTAATAATTCAATCAACAAATATTTGGGAGCCTATTATGTGCCAGTACCATGCTAAGCTCTATGGGCAGAGCATTCACTGACATATAGGGTTCACGTTCATGGAAGTAAGTCTGCCTTAAAAACTTTATGTCTTTGGCTGACACTGTTGCAAACTTTTCACAGTCCATACATTTTGTGTTTGTGTGTGTGTTTTAATTTTTAAATACTTTTTAGAGATGAGATCTCACTATGTTGCCTAGGCTGGTCTTTAATTCCTGGCCTCAAGTGATCCTCCTGCCTTGGCCTTCCAAAGTGCTGGAATTATAGGTGTGAGCCACTGCATCGTCACAGTCCATAAAGTTAAAGTAATAGAAAATACTTTGACATTTGATAACTGTTTGAATTATCTATTTTTGCATAATAAATCACCTTAAAACTTAGTGGCTTAAGATAACAACCATCATTTATTTCCCCACAACTGTGCAATTTGGGAAGGGCATAGCTGGGTAGTTCTTCTGCTCCCCCATGGTGTCAGCTAGGGTCAGACATGTGCTTTATTTAGCTGTGAGTCTGGCAAGATCTAGAATGTCCAAGATGGATGGCATCATCCACATTTCTGGCACCTCAGCTGGAGTAGCTGAAATGGTTAGGGGCTTACCTCTCTTTATGTGATTTCTCATCATTCAGTGGTCCAGTCCAAGCTTTTCTGCACAGTGGCTGGATCCCCAAAGAGAGAAAACAGCAGCTACAGGGTCTCCTAAAGCCTGAGTTCAGAAGTCCCAGAATGTCACTTCCATTGCATTCTATTGGCCAAAGCAAATTGTAGGGCCAGCCGAGATTCAAAAAGAGGAGAAAAATACCCTACTTCTTGATGGAAGTAGTAGCTGAGATAGGAGAAATTGTTGGCAGTCATATTTGGAAACACTCTACCATGGTCTATCCTCTAACTACAGTATACACATATGCACATGTGTGTGCACGCACATACCCACAGACACACAATACACTCACTCCCCTTCCCTAAAGTAACCATTCTGTGTAGCATTGGCTCCAAAATTCAGGATCTAGTATACATTAGACCCAGATGTGGATGAGGCATTTCAGATGTTGCTTCTCTTCATCTGGAGATCTGTCAACTAAAAAGACAAGATACATACACAACATACAATCCTGAAACAGGATGGAATAACTGCAATAGACACTCCTGTTCAAAAGGGAGGTGGGGAATGGAAGGCATATAACTGTCGCTTGTGCATAGCAATTCTAAAATCCAGCCAAACACTGTCACCATGCCTCTGAGGATCAAGTTCTCCATTACAGCCTCAGTTCTTCTCCCTGGGAGTAATTTCCTAATCTGTTATTCTCAATAGCTCTTGGCTTCACCCCCTGGGGTCTAGGCTAGAACCTCTTAGTCAATTTTCCTTTTTCATAAGAAACTGCCTTCCCTTTATGGTTGAATAATTCTCTTAGCCAACTTCTTGCTCATAGAAAATTGGGGGCTTGGAAGATTTTTTTTCATTTTGAACTGTTTCTTCTTTAGTTTGAGCTGGTGCAGTTTTATCCATAGAATTCTCTTTAAATTTTGTGGGTTTTCTATGACTCTTATTGGGGTTCACTCCTTGCCTACAAAGCAACATCTATAATTCTTTTAAAAACAAACCTCCTTTTACTTTGGAACTGTTGAGGTGGCTGCTATGGGACAGCCCTTAAGATTCTTAGAAACTCTTGTCTAGATGAGAGGCAATATTTAAATCTTTTAGAAGTCTTAGCACAGAGTCTTCATTGGATCCTTATCTTGAGGCCAATTTACAGGCAGGCCCTTTAGGCCATTTCTTACTTTAAGACTCTTGCTGGCTAAAGAGACTCTCCTAGGCCTTGTATATTTCCTTTACATTCTGCTTGAAAACTGAATAGTTCCTTATTTAATACATCTCTTTCTTCTGATATCATCACACCTCACTTGTATTGTACACCATTGTACATCCCTAAAAGAAGCCAACTGACACTTTGAACATTCATCCTAAAGATCTCCTTTGCCACATCCACAGGTTCATAAAGTATATTTTATATCTTGTATGTTTTATTGCATAAAAGTGTTGCCATTCATTTTGCTACTACATAATACCATTTTGCCACACACCAATAGCAATTTCATTCAGCCTCCATTGGGAATCTCCTCAGATTTGAGAACTAGGTTGGATCCTGGAACAAGAAAAGAAGATCAGTAAAAAACTGGTGAATTTCATATAAGGTCTATACCTTATGTTAATTTTCTAATTTTGATAATTGTTCTATGGCTATTAATAAGTTATTAATATTAGAGCTGCTGGATGAAGAGTATACATGAACTCTGTATAATTTCTGCAACTTTTCTGTAAGTTTCAAATTGCTTTAAAATAAAATATTTAAAAAACAACTTAAAAGTTTTTTTTAAAAAAAGGGTTTCCTCATCACCTTTCCAACCTCCATTCAATGCCTGATCCCAAAGTCAGTGCCACAGATTTTTATTATGCTAGCACCCAACTTTCAGGCATCAATTTCTGTTATTTGTTCCATAAAGTACTACTACCCCCAAATGTAGTAGCTTAAAACAGCAACAACCATTTACTTACTCACCATTCTGCAACATGAACAGGATAAGTGGTGACAGCTGTCTCTGCTTCATGTGGTGTTGGCTGAGGTGGCCTGACTTGGGCTAGAAGATGACATCAATCACATCTCTGGTGCCTCAGCTGGAGTAGCTGGAATAACTACAGGCTGGCTGGATCTATCTCTCTCCATAGTCTCTTATCCTTCAGAGGCACACTCCCTCCACGAAGCCCCTCTCTTCAGCAGGGTAGTCATACTTCTTTACATGGGGGTTATCTTCCAAGAGAGCAAAAACTACAGTTGCCAGACCTAGGCCCAGAACTATAATAGTAACATTTTTGCCTCATTCTATTGGCCAGAGCAAGTAACAGGGTCAAGATTCAAGGAAGGGGAAATAGACTCCACCTTTTGGTGAGAGGGTGGCATGTATGTAGAGGGATGGAGGAATTGGTGATCAGCTACCACAATGACTCTAGTCCTTTCCCCTATAAATAACTCCCCCAAACAGACAATTTTCCATGGTCCTTCTCTTAGGTCAATCACAATATCGATCATTTAAGAACACTCCCTATAAGTTGACAATTTGATTGGCAACTGAATGTTTTCTGTTGTTTTCTGTTTTGTTCCTTAATCTTTTAGTTTCTTAATTTGCTTACTCATCTATTTTACATGCATAAATTCTATTTATTCCAGGATTAATGTAGCTCCCAAAAGATTCATTAAAATGCAATGAAATAAAACAAAAGTGATAATACATACATATACATGTGTTTGCATAAATACATGGAAAATATCTGAAAGAAGAAACAAGAGACAAGAGAACACTGGTTATCTTTGAGGGCAGGATGGGGGGAGGGGCTATAGAGGGAGGGGAATTTCTCTTTTCATTTATTGCTTTCTATATGGTTTGAAGGTTCTTTACAATGATTGCTTATTATTTTTATAAAGTAAAAAAGTGATTTCATCCAATAGAATTAAGGCTTAAAATAAAAGTCTGAAATTACGAAAAGAATATTAAATAACCAGGGAGAGAGCTCAACTCTAATTTCATTTTTAAATAAATGAGTATACTAAGGAATTTCTAGCATTTAAGCTTAAAAGTCTGTTTGGTATCTGCTGCATCATAGAAATACATAGCTCTATCTGTCATGAATGCTGCCTAATAGAGATGCTATGTGGTAGACAGGCTGTATCTTATCCTGAGTACCCTGTCTTCCTTAGATCAATGGTCTCAATGAGATCTATTCTTCATTCTTTATACTGTTAATGACTTTTGCCGCTCAATGAAAATTTCCTTCAGAAATAGTCATATGATACCCACCATAATGATACCATATGATACCACCACCATCTTCTTCCATTCAAGGCAGAGGCAGACTACTTTACAATTCAAGAGTATAGGAGGTGGAAGAAACTTCAAAGATCACCTAGTTCACCAATCCCATTTCACAAATGAAGAAACTGAGGCCCAAAGGATTAACATACCCAGATTACATAGCAACTCAGTGAAGGATCCTTAATAGGAGCCTGAGAAATTTGTTCATACCCCATCAGTGGATAAAGATGGGAAGAAAACTTAGCTTTTAGAGAAACCCAAACACATCAATTAGAAGGAAATTTAACTAGAGATGGCTTTTAATGACATTGTCAAGCCTTGGACAGGAATGAACGTAGGGAACAAGGAGACTGCTTAAGTAGAGAGGATAAATAGGGCTTAGAATAGGGAAAAATGGATATAAGTGAACAACGTGATTACTGATGCTCACTCTGTGTCCTCAAGTGTCCTGAAATTAGTCCATGAGAATTAGTACCTTAAGGATCAAACATTAAAACACAGATTGCTGGCAGGGTGCGGTGGCTCATGCCTGTAATCCTAACACTCTGGGAGGCCGAGGCGGGTGGATCGTTTGAGCTCAGGAGTTCGAGACCAGCCTGAGCAAGATCAAGACCCCATCTCTACTAAAAATAGAAAGAAATTAATTGGCCAACTAAAAATATATAGAAAAAACTAGCCGGGCATAGTGGCACATGCCTGTAGTCCCAGCTACTCGGGACGCTGAGGCAGAAGGATTGCTTGAGCCCAGGAGTTTGAGGTTGCTGTGAGCTAGGCTGAGGCCATGGCACTCTAGCCTGGGCAACAGAGTGAGACACTGTCTCAAAACAAAACAAAAAAAAAAACAGATTGCCGCATGTTGCAAATTTGCTTCTACTCCTCACTTCCTAAGATCATTGGGAGAATGTAAAAGAGTTGGGCGTCATATGTGGACTGAAAAAGGAAAAGGGACTGTGAGGCCCGTGCACTTTTGAAAGGAAGGAAATAGCAAACCCATTGGGAACAAGGGGAACGCTGCCACCTGCTGAAAAGTTGGAGTCAACGAAAATGCTGCCACAGAGTTAAAATTAGCCCCTTCTTTATGGCTCAAAATCTGTTAACAGACCTGTTTGCCGTCTGAGGCAGGTCAGTGCAGAGAAAGCTTAATTCTGGATTTCATCAGCCTGGAGAAAGGTTAGTCTGTCTTTGATATGAGGTGGTAGAGCCTGCATTCCTACTACCCTTTCTTGTACAAACATTTATGCCAATTAGCTTTGATTTTTTAAACCTAAATCTCAAAATACTAAAATATACTTGGGTGAATCTAGATAAAAACGATATGAGAAGAAAAAGCACCACAAAGAAGTTTATTCAAGTAATGCATGCACCTGGTTAAAAATTCACAGTGGTTCACAAATACCCTTCCCCAGGTATGTGTCTTTTGTTTTTCTTTTACTCTTCTTTTTCTTCCTCTTCTATTTATATACAAACACACACACACACACACACACACACACACACACACACACACACACACAAAGGACAATTGTGAGAGAGGCCTGGGAGGAGGTTGCTGATCCTCTGTATAAAGCCTCACTCTTTCTACCTTTCATCTACCTTTCCATTCTCCACTCTCTTCTCTCCAGCTCTCCTTGCCATTCTCTTTCTTCCAATCCCCATTTTCCTCTTCCTTAACTCTGTTTCAAGAATCCTCTTTTATTCTCTTTTCTTTTTTCTTTTTTTTGAGACAGGGTCATGCTCTGTTGCTCAGGCTGGAGTGCAGTGGCAGGATCATAGCTCACTGCAACCTCAAACTCCTGGCCTCAAGTGATCTTCATGTTTTGGCCTCTCAAAGTGCTGGGATTACAGACATGAGCTACCATGTGGGGCCCAGATTCCCTTATTAATATGCAAAAACTGATATGGCCCTTATTAATATACAAGAAACAGAAGGGAAGGTGACATATACAGGTCTACCAAGTTATACAACCATAAGGGCCACAATTCACATTGTATATAATGCTATTGTTTTATGCCTTTTGATTTTCAACCGCGTGAATTTAGTATCTTTAATTTTTTACTTATTTATTTTTTAGGGTCTTTTTTTTTAGCATATTATGAGAGTACAAGTGTTAAGGTTACATATATTGCCCATGCCGCCCCTCCCCCCTAGTATCTTTAATTTATCTTTAATGTTTTTGAACCTGACCTTGGTACCCAGTGGGTAGATCACTATTTAATTTTATGATCACATTAGATAATAAAACAAAGTTCTAGACCCTGCCCACTTATAAATTTCTTATTAAAATAATGTTTTAGGATTAACAAATAAGTTTGAAAGGTACTCTTACTGTGACTTAGGCTTTTCTATCTTGTAGGAACTTTAGAAAGAATACTATAGAAAAACTTAATGTTGTCAGACCTAGTTTGGAAGGGAAATTTTATCTTTTGTAAATATGACAGAAAAATAGTTCTCTTTTGTGGATTTTGGCTACTTAATTGTACTAAAAGTGTTGCATTTCTTACAAGATGGGCAGATTTTGCATTGCAGGAGACCCTAAATGAAAAGGAAATCTATAAGCAAAGTCTTGGTGCTTGAAAATTAATTTGGGAATGTTTCAAATCCTTGACATAAATTTTATGAAATCAGGGGCTGGGAGAAAGCTAATGGATAGAAACAGCCCATTTTCAGAGGAAAAAAAAATCTCATTTACAGGACTCTGAGCCATAAATCTTATCTGAAGTTTCTTTTCTGGACACAGTACCTTTGTCTTGGCTGCCTCCTGGGACCACTCTCTTCCTATATCACCTGTAGAAGCAAGTAGGAGCGAGGGCTTAATTAAAATGTACTTTATAATAGTGTTCTTGTGAACTTGCTAATTACAAAATAGGATTGTCTGCATTTCAAATCTTGTTTCTTTTTCAGTGTTGAGGCATTTGTCCTATCAACTGGTCAACTTTTCCTTATGATTTGAATTTGGCATATTGAATCTTCTCAGTTTTTAAATTAAACTGGGTCCTGGGTAGAATTAAACTGGGTCCTGTCTGAGAATGGCCATTATTCTGTTTTTGAAATGTGCTGTTCTTTTCAGCTGCACCCAGAAATTTCCAAACCAGCAAACTTTTGCCCTAAGAGTAAGCTACCTTGGTAGATTATTTGGCTTGAGTTTGTCATCAGAAGCTAGGTCAAACAATCCTGACCCCTAGTTCTCTCAAACTGCACAAAATATTTCTAATAACCTTCTCCACTAGACATCTGTTTATTTTGCAATTAACAGAGGGTAAAGAAGGCTTAAAGGCATTTGTGCTCCAGGGCACAGAATGTAAATGAATTACAGTGCTGTCTTTATACCATCTTGGTATAAAGATGTAGACTAAAGATGCCCTTTAAAGAAAAAAATGTGGAAGTCATGAATAAAAACTCTTCTAGAGGTTTTCATAAGCCAAATTATAGAAAGAAATTTAGTGTCTCATAGAATTCTAGTGGGTTACTACCCATTGGTCACCAGTTATTTAAATAAAGTGACCATGGATTTTCCCAAAGTTAGAAGACTCCTATGACTCACATATATGGACGTTGAGAGACTGTTCCCAAGCCCTTCTGAGTATCAACAGCAGAGTAGTGGTCTTCAAACTGGAGAACTGAGACACTTAGATTTAAGGGAATCAATTCCAGATCTTTAACTTCATATATATTCTTTCCTAAATCTGATCTACCTGAGAACTAGTGTTGACTTGATTAAGTGGACCTAGTGGTTCCTTGTCCATGTCTCCCCCTTCATTGTGGCCCTATCTCCTACATTAAAAAAGAAAGGCATATACCCTTTCCATCTGAATACTAAAATGATACACTGTCCCAAAGTGTAAAAACTTGCAAAGAGCAAACAAGATCACCTGCAATAATGACATTGATGCTGAGAGGCTAAATGATTTTACTAACAAATAACAAACTCTTTTGAAAGATAGCATGTTTAGCTTTAATTTTTTTTTGGCTGGGTGTGGTGACTCACGCTTGTAATCCCAGCACTTTAGAAGACGGAAATGGAAGGATCGCTTAAGGCTAGGAGTTCGAGGTCAGACTGGGCAATATATTAAGACCCTATCTCTACAAAAAATAAAAAACTGGCTAATTGAAGGAGAACCTATTCAAATTGTCCATTAATAAATCTTAAAAATAAAATCACTAAGTGATGTGTGACATATAATTTGGGAAGCTTTCAAATAAATGAGTGACATCACTAAAACAATTCCTTACATGCTATCTACTTATTTATGTAGATGATATTACTCATTGTTTACAATATAAAAGCAAAAATTAGGGAAAAGTATTCTGATGCTAACTTGTTTCCTTCTAGAAATACATAAAATTCATTCAGGATATATAAACCAATTTTCAAAAAGCCCAACTGAATTCTTTTTTATGCTTAATAGTTATCAACATTTAAAAGTATCTGATTGACTATGAGCTAAAATTAATTAATGATAATTCAGAAAAATTTTTAACACTTAGGAGCATTATGGTCAAGGAAATTTAATACAATTTAAAGTTTTATATAAAATTTGCTGCTGGGGCCGGATGTGGTGGCTCACGCCTATAATCCTAGTACTCTGGGAGGCTGAGGCAGGCAGATCACTCAAGGTCAGGAGTTCAAAACCAGCCTGAGCAACAGCGAGACCCAACTCTACTAAAAATACAAAGAAATTATTGGCCAACTAATATATATAGAAAAAATTAGCCAAGCATGGTGGTGCATGCCTGTAGTCCCAGCTACTCGGGAGGCTGAGGCAGGAGGATCGCTTGAGTCCAGGAATTTGAGGTTGCTGTGAGCTAGGCTGACACCATGGCACTCACTCTAGCCTCTGCAACAAAGTGAGACTCTGTCTCAAAAAAAAAAATTAAATTTGCTACAGGGAAATATGATATAGTCATATTAGTATATATATAGTAATGTATATTTGCATATATATTACATGCAAATAAAATCTATGGCAGAATTGGAAAGAAAATTTAAGTTCAAAGAGAAAAAAGAAAGACATAAAACTTTCCACTGTAAGAAAAGAGCTTGTTCATATCTTTAATGTTTTGATGGATAATGAGTAACAAATTACTACTGTATTTATATTCTATTGGATACATTTAAAAATTCTACTTTCAAATGTTAATGTTTACATTACAAAGAAATTACTTCCTTTGCAACTACTTGAACTTACAATAAAAAAGTTTAGGCAAGGCCCAGTGGCTCATCCCTATAATCCTCACACTCTGGGAGGCCGAGGTGAGCGGATCATTTGAGCTCAGGAGTTCCAGACCAGCGTGAACAAGAGAGAGACCCTGTCTCTACAAAAAAAAAATAGAAACAAATTATCTAGACAACCAAAAACATATATAGAAAAAATTAGCCAGGCATGGTGGCACATGCCTGTGGTCCCAGCTACTTGGGAGGCTGAGGCAGAAGATGGCTTGAGCCCAGGAGTTTGAGGTTGCTGTGAGCTAGGCTGACACCAGGGTACTCTAACTCTGGCAACAGAGTAAAATCTGTCTCAAAAAAAAGTTTAATTCTAACTCTAAAATGTGTTAGGAGGAAGAGTTTTTCCAAATTGTGGGATAAGCTAACAAAAAAGTTTAAAGACTCCTAGCAAAACTTTCATACATGTGCATGAGAAAATATAAACATATATAGGGATATTCATGGAAATATTATTTGTAATGGCAAAAAATTTGAGAGAACCTAAATGTCCATCAATATGGATAAACAAAGTGTGATATTTTCATATAACATTATACAGCAGGTTAAAAGGAATAAATTAGGTCAATTTATCAACAGGAAAATACCTCAAGCTTTATCAGATACTAGTTAAATCTGATCCTCAGAATTACAATGGCCTCATCTTTCTCTTCTTTTCTATCCTTCTTACAACAGAGAAACCAGTCCAGGAAGCAGAAAGTCTATAGGCTGTGTGATGTCACCCAAACCTTGACCCTGAAGCAGAGAACTTTGAGTGGGTGTGTAACATGATCATATCACAGTTATAGTCATGAAGGCTCCATAATTATCTGAGCTATTTTAAAGACTACTCCTGCCAGAAGTGGAGGGGAGATTAAAAGGGTCAAAGAACCTTGGCCAGGCGCGGTGGCTCACGCCTGTAATCCTAGCACTCTGGGAGGCCGAGGCGGGCGGATTGCTGGAGGTCAGGAGTTCGAAACCAGCCTGAGCAAGAGCTGAGACCCCATCTCTACTATAAATAGAAAGAAATTAATTGGCCAACTGATATATATAGAAAAAATTAGCCGGGCATGGTGGCGCATGCCTGTAGTCCCAGCTACTCAGGAGGCTGACGCAGCAGGATCACTTGAGCCCAGGAGTTTGAGGTTGCTGTGAGCTAGGTTGACGCCACGGCACTCACTCTAGCTAGGGCAGCAAAGCAAGACTCTGTCTCAAAAAAAAAAGAAAAAAGAAAAGGGTCAAAGAACCAATTAGGAGGAAAGGATTTCCTCATCACCTAGTCATGAGCAGCATAACAACATTTTGGGCAATGATGGACTGCACATACAATGGTGGTCCAGTATGATTATAATACTGTATTTTTAGTGTACCTTTTCTATAACACGTTTAGATGAAGAAACACTTACCATTGTGCTACAATTGCCTACAGTATTCAGTACAGTAATATGCTGCACCAGTTTGTACCTAGGAGAATAGGCCATATATCATATAGCCTAGTGTGTAGCAGGCTATACCATCTAGGTTTGTGTAAGTACACTCTATGATGTTTGCCCAATGATGAAATCATCTAATGACAAATTTCTCAAAATACAACCCTGTTAAGTGAAATATGACTATATTTAGAATCTCTACTTGCCTGGAAAGAGGAAGTAAGGTAATTATTTACTTATATAGGAAGGATGTGTAAACTAAAAATAAAATTCCAAACCCTTGCTGACTGAATAAACCCCTCCTGGCCAAGGGGTCCCCAGAAAAACTTTAAAACTGAGTTCCCAGCCATGAAGGGAAGGGAGGTCAGATACCCCATTATACCCATCCCTTTTGGAGTTCAGACACAATGGACCAGCATTAATGTTACAACAGAGATCATAAGACTGAAAAAAGAGACTCTCTGTGACAATAAGATGCTAAATTATTAACAAGATCTATTCTAAGGCTATGCAAGGCAAAGGTTAAATCACACCTGCAGATCATCAATTTGCTTAACAGATCACTTGAGTCTTTGAGGCTTGTCTCTGATTAACAGACTTCCTTAACTTAAAACATTCAAAGCCTTTAGACAAAGCCTTATTTCTTTAACCAATTACAATTCAAAAACTCTTTGAATCCATCTGTAACCCATAAGGCCCTGCTTCAAGATGTCCCTCCTTTTTAGGCCAAACCAATGTATACCTTCCATGTATTGATTTATTTTACCCACAATTCATATCTCCCTAAAATGTATAAAACCAAACTATAACCCAGCCATCTTGGGAACACTTACTCAAGGCTTTTTAGGTATGGCTGGCTCCCTGGGCCACATGGTCACACATATTCAGCTCATAACAAAACTCTTTAAATTATTTTATAGTGTTTGGGCTTTTTTCTATTAACAGATAGAGGAAATATTAGTGATCTAGAAAATATACAATGCTAAGATAAGCAAATAGTGACTCTCAGCAAATTGATTCTATAATAATAAAATCAGTTCAGATGTTCATTTCTATAGAAAAACAAAATCCATGATGCCAAGTAATAACAATTGCCTATTCATGTGAATTTCTTTCCTCCTTTCTATTTAGAGATATCTGCTTAAACATTTAAA